TGGTCTCTGACTGTCGAACGCGGACGTATCACCCGGCGGTTCTCGTAGGCGGAGCCAGAATGTGTGCATGTTGCATGCACACGTGTTCCCTCGCCAGAGTCCGTGTGGCGTCCCCCCTTGCCCATGTATATCCCATAGCCCCACGGTACCCAATGGGTGCTTAGGCCTTAGGCCTTCGTGGTAGTTGGAATATATAAAAAAAACATTTTCTTTAGTACAGGAATCGAACTGGTACTATCTCGATTTCAAGTTCACTATATTTTAGTACGTAGGAGTTATTGATGGGCCCAAACTTCTTACACGGGTACATGTGGTATAGCGGAACCATGATATCAAACTCAGATTTGAGAAATGTTCAGAGTTTTCGCCAAGCTGTGGGAGTAAGTGATGAAAATTTCTTTTTTGAATAGCTTTTTGTCCTGATAGCGTTTAGTAAGTGCCGAGCACATAAAAATGACTATACATTCATGTCTATGATTTTTATTTGCATGTCGCATGATTTTCGTACAGTTTAAAAAAACATCAAGGACAATCCACGCCAATGTGTTCAACCTGTAGCGTATGAGCTTTATTCCATATAGATCGTGGTCTCCCATCGCACGTTACGTTTTAAATATTCAATTCGAATGTCGCATGATACCATGCAAATGGGATATATCGTATTTATTGCTGTCCATAATAATTAGTTTTGGATTATTGCATTTCATTTAATCAAAGCCGAACGACTGGCAGAATATGATGCTGGTCATAATATCGTTATCGCAATGATTCTATTTTGCTCCAGCTGGTTTTTTGCATTGCCACAAAATGGGGTTGCTGCGAATAAAATGCATCAAAGTAATTTGTTTCGACTAATCAACATATGCATGGAGGCCAGCAATGTCCTATTGTTAGTCTTTAGAGGGTAATTCTCAGCTATTACTTTTGCAGAAATATATTATTCCAAAGCTGTCTATTTCTGGGTGACTACTGTGGATCGGTTAGGGAAGAACCAAAGTGAATTCTACTAATACTACAGGAAAGTGAATAAATATAGAATTGAGGGTAATATCTGAATTGGTTCTATATTCGTCTATCTAAAATAAATTATTTGTTCTGTGTAGCTTTTTAATACAACAAATAAAAAGACAATGCAGATTACCGCGCAAATGGTTAAGAGCTTGATTTTTGTACAAAAATGGGACTGGAAAACAGCCGTACCTGCTTTCAAATTCTAACCATTCATATAATAAATATTAACGTTTTTTCTAAAAAATACTTAGAATAAACGTTTGAAACCCGCAATAACTGAATCACGAATACAAAACCAATCATAGTATAGTCTACAACTACTATATTAAATATGTATCCACATTACCTAACAATTTTTACATAAAGATAGTGTTATAATATACATTTATTAGATGATTGGTGATGAATTATTTGAGCATTACTTTCGCAATCCTAAGTTGAGTAGCTAATGGACTTTCATTCTTGGCTCTTCATGAAGACATTCAGATTAAAGTATTTCAAATTTTTGACATGACATAATTTCATCATAATAGATGGTATACAAATGTTTTGGGTGCAAGTCAAATAAAACATTTTTGGCCAACAGTTTTTTTGTCTTCTAGGAATAACCAGTTTGATCTCGTTACTTCTAGTATTATACGCATGCCTAACATACGTTGTAGCAAGAACAAGTTTTGTAATCATTCTTTAAGTATTTTCCAAAGATTTTTAATATAGTTGGTATAAGTGATATTGGCCGGTAGTTGCTTAAGTCATCTTTACTTCCTATAGGCTGAAACCTTTCAGAGTGCTTCTGGATATAAGCTTTCTATTAATGATATATTTACTACGATATGATAAGAGGTCAGACGAATAGTCAGAATAACTTTTTAAAATCTTAGCACTAATCCCACCTTCTCCCGGTGATTTTTTGCTTTTAGTTCATTTATAGTTGATTTCATTTCTGTATCATTCGTTTTTAATTCCAAATCTACTGAGTTTACTACATGGCATATATGAGGATACGTTGTGTAATTGTTGAACATAGCAGAGAGATTTACTGCTATTTCAGTAACATTTTTATCACACGTCGCACATATTTCTTTTTTGTTACTTATAATATCTGTTCTCATTATTTTCTGAATTTTAGTATCACTCTATTTTCGATGTCATTCACAAATTTTCGAGTATAATACGTTGAAAGTTGGTAAGAACCTTTGATTTGACGTTCCGTAAACGGGCTAAAGAATCTCATGTAGGTGAGGTGTTGACATAATGGGTCATGCAAGCTTAAAGCCCAATTTACCAACAACAGTCCGTTATTCTCCTACCTATAGGGTCACAGACCGTCAGATGCAGCGAATGAGCTTCAAGTTCCAATCAACAAATTTTAGCAACCAATAGCTATGAAATGTTAAAAACAAATACTGTCAAAGTATGAGATGCCAACTTGTCATTGAAACATTACCAGCTTATTGAATATTAAGAAATTACATATAATTGAGTCAAAATTTTAAGAAATGTTTGATTTTTGAATTAAATTCATGTTTTAATTACTATTGTTGGTTTTTTATTCATGTTTGTATTATTTTCTTCAATTGATATGTGATACTGGGTGTTTTTTCCTATAAACCTCTTGCAGATAGCCATTAAGCACCTACTTGATGACAGGCTCTACCAAAAGATATTGCTCGTTTCCAAACATTCAGTGATTTACTTGCCGTTCATCAGAACCATTATGGCACCTTAGATTGATATTCCCACAACACCATTCAGGTGTTTTGATATCCATACATCCATAAAGTTGAATATTTTTCGTTGTTCAGGAACTAAACAAACATCCACACTATATTCACAGCGATTAAGTAATTCCCAAATATATTCCTTAAAGCTACCAGCTAACCTATAAAACCTGCAAAAAACTACAAATTTGCCATATTTTTCTTTTTTCACGAGTACACATTCTAGCTTATATTTATATTACACATTATTTGAATACAGCTGATTATTGCATTTCAAGGAGTGGCACATGTGTGGGATCTGTCAACTCTTGGTACCATTCACAAAACATATATACTCTGAAGGTTTAATTCGATGCTATTCAATCACAACACGGTGACTTGTGTGGTTGTAAGCGGCCATTTTGTGAGGGTGCGACAGGGTTGCCAGATTGTGCATTAATATCCCGTTTCACCCTCCTGGGCCCACTGTTGAAATATACTCTACTATGCTTTATAAGACTATTCGTGACATTTTTCCCAAAATCATTGCACAACACTTGAAAAAATGCAAATGAAAATTTAAAATTATTTCCATGACGACGCAAAATAGCTCTGTCGGTACCTTGGATTATACATCTTGACAGTAGGGATGTTCGATAGGATCCTATATTCAGAAGTATCAATACATTTCACGAGTATCGTCATCTTTCGATCCGGACTGTGTCAGAAAGAGTGACTGCCATTTGGCTGCGACATTATCCTGCCAAATCAGACATATATGTTCATCATTTTCAAAGAAATTGTACAAAATCTTCAAATTTGTGAAGTTAGCGAGTTTCACTTCATATGTTCTTACCAGACATGCCTAAATCATCAGTTGCTGCCGTGATATTCATTCCGACCACTGCATCCCCACGGATAGGCGACCTGTATGTTAAATTTGTATTGATAGGGCAGCGGGTTATGATATAAGTATAAATCATATGTCACAGTGCTTGTGCACTGATTGCAACGGTTAGATGATACCAAAAATATTCTCATAAATAGGAGAACTTTCCCATTTCGGATGGAACAATCTACCAAAGATGCTTATAATTATGATACCTAGTCAATTTTCACGAAAAAAATGCAAAACCAGCAAATGTAAAAAATTCATTTCGCACCCTCCACCACGGGACGTGATCGTCGTTAGACTTGGCAACCCTCGAGTGACAAATAGATATCCTCGCCAGTCAACGACCGCCAGTCAAAAACACAAACAATAAACATTACTAGTTTTGATGATTTTTAGACTTAAAAGACATTATTTGTGAAACATTTTTCATAATTTTTTGTCTATGTCCATAGTAATTGCATTATACATCAGGGAGATGTAGGGATTGACACGTCTTACACATATTATCTGTGTTTTAGGATGGAGAGGACATAATGTTTTTATTGCTTTGAAGAAATTCATTAACCCATAAATTAATAAATGATTACTATTATGACGTAAAGGAAGATGAGGAATTGGATGGAATGTATTTTATATTTTATTTTCTTGCAAAATACAGACAAATCCACACTATTCAACAGGTAATGATAACTTTCAGTATATTGAAGTTGGTAAATTCTAGAGTGCCATGCATTAACAAACGTCCAAATCTGCTGCCAAATTTAACAGCTGAGAGGAATAACGGATTGTTAAATGTAAACCTATAACATATATCAAAATACATGAAAGTTGTCCTGTTTTTTCTGTACAAAAGCATCTTGTTGGAATCAAAAAGTGGTCTTGTTTATAATACAGTCGAATTTTCACGATTTTATTCAATATTTCACTAGACTAATACACTAATATTCAGAGACCTTTGACAGCTTCTGTCAAATTGCATTTCGATAAGGTATTTTCCCATTGGTCCATAATATTAATGCTGGTGAAATCGGCCCTTAATGCCTCAAAGCTAGTTTCTTGCTTTCCCTGTATTAAATGTCTATTACCCAGAAAAGTAACAGGAATTAAGCGATTTCTTTGTTGTAGATATGTATTTCGACGCTGCGTGATTGCGTATTAGGTTGTCTCTAGTATACTACAAAAATAATTGTACTTGTAAATGTATCTCGTGATTGTTTCTGTGATCAATCTCCAATTTATAACTTTCACCTCAGATGTATGTAGGTACATACATAACTGGGCTTTTCCAATCATATTAACTGATAACATATTTTGTGTGAATTCCGATTTCGCTCTAACCTTATATAGCTTTTAACTACCAGAATGCGTCGAAGTCAGAGTGCTAATTCAGTGCAATGAAGCGAGCGAACGAAGAACATGCCTCAATCAGAAGTTTCCCATCTAACAGAGGGAATTTACTTCATGTGGTGACTAAGTTCCTTCAAAGCACCTACAGAGGTAGTTGCTGAAACTATTTCTCGCGTTCAACATTACATTAAGAAGGAAACTAGCTTTCGACGCAGAGCTCGCACTTAACCATTTGTTCCGATTAGGAATTTCGATACATTAAACATTAAAGGGTTCTACAAATTCTATGTGATGCATGGTGACAGAAGTAGCTTATCATATGACAGGAATTATAGACAACCTGAGGAACAATGAAAACATTGCGTATTTCAATTTTTTATGAACTTATTCCATTAGGCTAATCTAATAAGATTTAGATCTTAAAACATAGACAATTAGTAACAATCATACTCACCAAAGAATGGTTATTTTTTTCTTACAAAAAAGACCGGAAAGTACGTGGCATCGTTAGAATACTGCTCCGTACTGATACATCCCAATTGGAGATACGATAGAGCTCGGGAATTGATCGCCATTATGATAAACGTGTTTGATGAAGTACCTCGTAATTTATGGATCCTATGCAAAACAATATAGTAAGTTGCGGCTGCGTGACTAGCTGACTAGTTTTCTTTAAAGAATAGTGTCAAGTAGGGTGACTCTACACTTTCTACGCATCGTCGTCATCTCAGAGTTTAACCCTCCGAGAAAAAAATTAGTTACGAACATGTACAATAGAAAAATTGAGGCCAGTAAAACACACCGATACTTAGTTCGTAGACATTATTTCCTGTCCTACCGGTAGTTACCGCTCATATGGCAACGTCGGCCCTTCTAATATAGTCAGACACGGCAGCGCCCAACGAAGCACTTGCGCAATACGGGTGGAACAATCAAGTAGATCGGCGCTGAGCCCAGATAGCAGTGGAGACGCGTTTCGAAAACGTTTCTCTATCATTCTAAGTTTTAATGACAAAATAGTGGGAAAACGTATTATGTGTGAAATATGGCAGATAGGTGCCTACAATTACCGGGGTTGGAAGCGAATAAGCATACTAATATAAAAAAACTGATACTACCCTCCATCACTACCTATCACCCTCATCTCCTAATTTTTCACCCCTAAAGATTTTTTCAAAAATGATCAGGATCCACTGAGATGTCAGAAACGAAGTTTGAGTTATTTTTTTTGTTTTTGGCCTTTTTCTCCGCCGCCACTGGACCGATTCTCAAAAATTGCAAAGCGTTTTCATTCTTGGCATAGTAGTAACTTTGTGAGAAAATTTTATCAAAACTACTAGCAGACATACAGACAGGCCGTCGGAAATGAGTGATATGATTTTTGCCCATGTACATATAAACTAGCACTACAGGCCTAGTAAGCCTATAGCTTGATTGGCGATCCTTCGCCGTTCTTCTCTATTCATTGCTCTTCCTTCCCAATCACTTATGTTTAATTTCCTCAGGTCATCTTTCACCTCAGTTTTCCACCTCGTCCTATGCCTGCCTCTCCTTTTCCTCCCTCCCATTGAATGGGTAAGCAGCGTCTTTGGTACTCTATGTTCTGCCATTCTTTGCACGTGTCCCAACCATCTCAACCTCTGAGCTCTTTTGCCCATGTACATGTCATATAACATCCAAAAAACATAATATCTCATTTTCGAATGTTTTCGCGATTACAATACTTCCTCGGCCGGTAGGCGCGGGAACTAAAACATTGTTTCAGCAAAAAATGCGGTTAGTGGCATATAAGCAAAAGAACCATAGTTTTTATTGTTTACTATTGAAAATTACACGTAAATGTTGATCTATTAACATATAACATTCATTTTGCACGTTTTAATATCTTCAAGGTATACACGTATATTGAGGAAATCCGGGCGAAGCGAATACCCCGAGAAAATCAAATTTCCCATTTGACATCCAAACAATCTTAAAAAAGTAAATATGTGTATACTCATTCGTTCTACATTCTTTAATAATCGGCAGTCAGTTGACGAAGAACTCACGTGCACATTTGATTACCACACGGTAAAATGCAATTTTTCGAGAAAATATTGATTTTGCAAGACGTGTTGTGCGTGTAATTACATTTTAGGAGTGTTTACGCATCTGCCCTTAAGGAAGCGTTTCCAGCAAAAAAAGCATTTTGGTAGAAATGTGACTAAAGTAGTCTTTGAGTTGACCGATTCAATTAAATTGTCAGTTGTAAAATAAACCGTATCTCGGCATCTTACCGGCTAGATGCGTACGTATATGCTATAGCAAGAATACTTGGTCGATTAAATTATTCCAAATTCATTAGGAATTCATCTTATGTTCTGAATTAGCAAAAGTTAATGAGGAATGGATATGTATTTGGGCATTAAGGCATCTACAAATAAAATTCATTGAAAACTATATTAGTTCGACACCTAAACATATAGTGAAATGCACATCAAAATAGTAATTTTGCAGTTCTAATTTATTATTTTATTTGGAGAATATATCGAATAAACTATCGTTATTTACCAGTAATTGTTTTGGACGTTAGTTCCAACCGGTTTCCAAAGTGTTATAACTGTGACGTAATAAGTGTAGATAGACAATCTTTCTCCCTATTTTTTTTATAGGAATTATTGTCCTTTCCTTCCTTGCTTACATTGCCTTTTTTCTCCTAACACTATAACACTATTATGTAGCTCATGTGAAAGGATCAAAGGTCCGAGTTGAAACAGTATTTCTCTTCCATGCTACGCATTAGTTGGGGAAGCATGTTTTGTATATAAGTAAGAGAGTGAAATGGTGTTTGATGTCAGGATGATATTAATTTTCAGTTGCATGCTGCTGTATTTCACTAATATTTTTCTTTATTAAAGTACATAAATCCTCGAGTGCAGGAGGAGCTTACGTTTTTATGTCTGGTGGGCTAGGTATTATTTCCCCGCAAAAATAAGGGAGTGTTCGTGGTCAGTGGCGTTCTGTAATAATATTGTGAGAGGCACAATCGAGTTATGTGATACTATTCACATAATGAATTGTGTTATTACTAAATTGAATAAATCTAAATTAAAAGAATGCTACCATCCTGGCGGTGAAGTAACGGAATATTAAATGGCATTTACAATTTGCTGTATCAAAATTATCTCTGGGCTTCTGCTCTGACTCAAAATGGGTTTCGACAGTTGAAATTAATCTCGATATCGCCTTGTGACTATGATAATAATTTTGTCATCTGATTACATCGATCTTCTAAATTCAAATTATCTTGACAACATTGTCATAGCGAATCAAGTATATCGTCGTAAGGCGCCATTGAAATCAATTTCAACGGTCGAAACTCATTCAGAATCAGTCCTCTGTACTCTCTGTATTACCCTGTGGCTGCCACTTGTTCCATTTTTCCTAACCTCGATCAGCAATTCATCTTTACACAGCGCGTTAGAGTAAGTAGCCAACGTCTTCTATGCTTATAGAAGACGTACAAGACTCTTTGGGAAAACATTCATTTTACAAACATGTATACCCGAGAAATTTAAACGAATCAAGCCAGTCAAACAGGCCCACATAACAAGTCCATAATAATTTTTCCATGCCCTACCAGTAGAACCGCCCATCTGGCAATGTCGCCCCCCCCCATACCTGACTACACGACACGTCTGATGCGGCAGTAATGGCAAGTCACTCAACGAGACCAGCACGCCTGCCACTGAACCCAGAGAGCATAAGCAGAGACGCGTGTTGAAAACATCTCTCACCAGTTTCCAGAGCAAATGTTCGGATAAATCTATGATGTGTGAATCATCTCTTTTAGGTGCGTAGAATTACGGGGGTCGGGGCTTATAAATATGTACCCCAAAAAATTAAGATATTTTTGAACCCCAAAATTTTTTTATGAAAATTATCTGGAGCCTCTGAGACTACTTGTTCGTTTTTTGTCCTGTAGCTCGGCCGCCACTGGACCTTGGCATAGTAGTAACCTTGTGTGAAAATGGTATTCAAATCCGAGGGGTACCTTCCAAGTTATCGACCGACCAACGATTAGCGGACAGATAGACAGGACGACACAAATGAGATCGTTTTTCGTGATGTGCAATCCATATAACATATATATACCTGTATATATATGAGCAGTAGTCATTGCCATTGCCAACGACCAGTTGAGCAAGAAATACAATTAATTTTTAATTGGGAATTGGCAAACTTTAAGCTTAGTAAACTCTTTTGATGGTAATCCCGAGCTTTCGACAAACTATGTTGTCATCTTCAGGAGCTAAACCACAAATATGAAGCTAGCAACTAATTTAGAAAGGATTTAAATTTTCAGAACACTTACTCGTCAGTGAGGTTGCAACCCAATGGTCCACGCTTTTGTTTTAAAAACTCTATTTGGCTGCAACCTCACCGACGATTAAGGTTTAGAGGTCTTGAAATTTATAATCAGGTATCTTTCGTATGGTTAACTACAAATTAATTTATTGTCGAAATCGGTATATTTGCAAGATTGTGAAACCTGTATACTCGTATTAGATATGGTATCATAATTGAACTGCTGTTCTTGAACTTTTAAGAGATGACACACATAAATACTTTTTTTTTTAGATAATGAATAAATTTTTTCAAGACTATTATTTTTGAGCCATTATTCTGTAACATTGCGTTGAAGTTAGTCCATTGTCGGTGTGCTAAATGAGTTGCTTATTATAATATCTTTAGACACAATCATTCAAGGCCTGCTTAAGAAAACCCGATTTCCAGTGTCGTCCTTTTGGGAACTGAATCTCCATAGAGAAAGAAGCCCATAGGTTCTTTTTATGGTCATTCCTTTAATATCGAATACAGCGTAAAAGCAGTAACTTATCGATCGAATCGCACTTTAGAGAGACCTTGTGCCAGTGATGGCGAATAACGTTTCCATATTCGTGGAAAGAGCTCAATCCCTTCAGTTTCTAATAAGTTTCGGCGAGTGGTGTAAGTAAATTAAATAATTGCTTTTTTCAAAAAATCTGCCAACATGAGAAAATCGATATTTGCAAAATTCAAAATTTTCCGTGATTACAAGAAAATGACACTTGCTATGGTCGCTGAACGGTCTCCTCAAAATATATTGAGAACATAGGCCCTGCGTCATC